AAACTGGAAGTGGGGGAGGCCGACGGGCAAAGGCAGGAAATGGAGGACGATCGCCTCCCTCCAAATTTCAAAACGGCGGCCTCATCTGGGCCGCCGATCTGCCTCGATCAGCGGTCCGGAGAGGCCACCGCTTTGGAAGCAAAAAGGGAGGCCTGCTCCACCCGGTTCGATTTTTTTTTGGGCCAGGAGGCCCCCACAACCCGCGTGGGGGCCTCCTGGCCCAAAAAAAAATTGATTCGGGCCTTCCCCTCCAATGCGCTGTAGGCCGCCGGGGGGGAACCGGACTGGTCGACCGGCCGGTCCCACCGGCCCGGTTCCAGTTGGGGGTGGACCCCCCGGTCGGACCGGGAATTTAGCACTGATTTTTTTTTGTTTTTCTTTGTTTTTTTTGCATTTATGTATGGTCTGCCCTCCCACCTCCCCCGTGCCCCCCTGTCCTTGTGCCCATCTGCAGTTTGTTGTCGTTGCCTCCTTGCCTTTTGCCTTATTGTGCTTCCTTTCCCTGTCTTGTGGTGTCTATTTGATCGTGTGTGTTCCAGTTCGCCCGCAAAGTGCAGTGGGAGCATAGATGGTCGTGTAGTCCGGCATAGTTATTCCCAACCTTACAGTATAGGTTCCGTCTGCACCACGCCTACAAGTTATTGTTCCTGAGCTTGCTCGTGTAGTCTGGCATAGTCATTCCCCACCTCCGAGTACTGGATGCGTCTGCACCATGCCTACAAGTTTTCATTCTTAAGGTTCGCCGATATATTATTTCGGATCTTGATTATGATGCGGTTTCCGTATCATACAGTAATCATGTCTTATTATGAGGGTTACACACTTACACACACACACACCAACACACGTACACACAAACACACACACACACACACACACAAACAGACAAACACCCGCTCCACCCACTTCTCCATACCATCACCCCTTCCCCCTTCGCTTCTCTCTCTTTCTCTCAAACCCACACACACACATCTACAAAGAAAAGGGAAAGAAAAGAGAACCGACAAAAAGGAGTGTGTAGCGTGCTTTTACCCTCCGCCCCCTCCCCGTC